ACATAAACATAAGTTATTTTTTTTTGCACAACTCCTCTTACCTAACCATTTACTTTTAGGTTAACACATTACATCAACATATACAAACCAGAAGAAAAAAAAAAACCCAGCGTTAGATACATAGAGATCACCCACCCACATTGACCATTTCATATCTCTTCCTTTCCTCTATAAAAAAAAAAAAATCCTCCTCCTTATATAATCTCTTCTCATCCCTATTCATATCTTCTTTGTGGGTAAGCTTAAACCCAACAACCTGATAAAATTAGAAAAAAAAACATGTCTGGCTTTCTTGGAAAACTATCTCCAACCAAAAGGGTAGTAGCTGGCAACAATGATCTTCCTCTGTTTAATGTGAACCAGACTTCCATGGAGAGATGTCCAAGAGACACACCTAGAGTTTCCGCCACACTCGCGGAGCTTCTCATGAACGTGGAGGACGCAAGAAATGATCAACGTGGTTTAGAAATGGCCTCACCTCTCACTTCTTCAGCATCTTCTTTCAATTCATGGACCTCAGCTCCAGCTTCTTCCATCTCATCTTCCCCTTTTGTTCTTTCCTTCACCGACTTGACCTATAGCGTGAAGATCAAGAAAAAGTTCCCTCCCTTTTGTGGAAACTCATCAAATGATCCTGCCTTGAATACTAAGATACTACTGAATGGTATCTCAGGTGAAGCCCATGAAGGTGAGATGATGGCTGTTCTTGGAGCGAGCGGGTCAGGTAAATCAACGCTCATCGATGCATTAGCCAGCCGTATAGCCAAAGACAGCCTCAGAGGCTCCATCACTTTAAACGGGGAAGTTCTTGAATCCAGCCTCCAGAAAGTCATATCTGCTTACGTGATGCAAGACGACCTCCTCTTCCCTATGCTCACCGTTGAGGAGACTCTAATGTTCTCAGCAGAGTTCAGGCTCCCTCGCTCCTTATCCAAGAAAAAGAAGAAAGCAAGAGTACAAGCTTTGATCGACCAGCTAGGCTTAAGAAGCGCGGCAAGAACCGTGATTGGTGATGAAGGACACCGAGGTGTATCTGGAGGAGAAAGGAGACGTGTTTCGATTGGGATAGACATTATCCATGACCCTATTATACTCTTTCTTGATGAGCCAACCTCGGGGTTGGACTCTACAAGTGCCTATATGGTCATCAAAGTGCTTCAGAGAATCGCGCAGAGTGGTAGCATAGTCATCATGTCCATACACCAACCTAGCTACAGAATCATGGGCTTGCTAGATAGACTGATCTTCCTCTCTAGAGGAAACACAGTCTTCAGCGGCTCGCCGACATATCTCCCACAATTCTTCTCTGAATTTGATCACCCGATCCCTGAGAACGAGAACAAAACAGAGTTTGCTCTCGATCTCATCCGGGAGCTGGAGAATTCTCCAGAAGGAACCAAGAAACTCGTCGAGTACCACAAAGAATGGAGAGCAAAACAAGCAGCAGCAAGATACTACAACAACGGTATCACTCTCAAAGAAGCGATCACCGCGAGTATCTCCAGAGGGAAACTCGTCTCCGGAGCAACAACAAACTCTCCATCATCATTCCAAACTTACGCAAATCCGTTCTGGATCGAAATGATTGTTATTGGCAAACGCTCGATACTAAACTCAATGAGGCAACCAGAGCTCATCGGAATGCGTATAGGAGCAGTCATGGTCACAGGAATAATCTTAGCCACAATGTTCACGAAACTAGACAACTCCCCCAAAGGAGTCCAAGAACGTCTAGGCTTCTTCGCCTTCGCAATGTCTACAACGTTCTACACATGCGCAGAAGCCATCCCTGTCTTTCTCCAAGAACGTTACATCTTCATGAGAGAAACTGCTTACAACGCGTATCGAAGATCCTCCTACGTCCTCTCACAGTCCATAATCTCCGTCCCTTCACTCATCTTCCTCGCGGCAAGCTTCGCAGCCACCACTTTCTTCGCGGTTGGTCTCGCTGGAGGCCCTAGTGGCTTCCTCTTCTTCTTCCTTACAATCTTAGCTTCCTTCTGGGCCGGAAGCTCCTTTGTAACGTTCCTATCCGGCGTCGTATCGAATGTTATGCTTGGATTCACTGTAGTCGTAGCGATCCTCGCTTACTTCCTCCTCTTCTCGGGATTCTTCATCTCTCGTGACCGTATCCCTCTTTACTGGATCTGGTTTCATTACCTCTCGCTTGTTAAGTACCCTTACGAAGGTGTTTTGCAGAACGAGTTTGAGGATCCGACAAAGTGTTTTGTCCGAGGGATTCAGATATTTGATAACTCGCCGTTGGGGCAGTTTCCGAGCGCTGTGAAGCTGAGTTTATTGAAGAGTATGAGCGGTGTTTTGGGGATTAATGTGACGGCGGAGACGTGTGTGACGACGGGGATTGATATTCTGAAGCAGCAGGGGGTTACGGAGATTAGTAAATGGAATTGCTTGTGGATCACGGTAGCTTGGGGGTTCTTTTTTAGGGTTTTGTTTTACTTCACGTTGTTGATTGGAAGTAAGAACAAACGGAGGTGATGAAGCACAGTTTGTTTTTTCTTTCTTGATTTGTCTTATTGTCTGAAAATCATAAAAACATTGTCGTGTTTTATTTTATTTTTAATGCTAAATATTTGTATTTCTTTGTTACTTATACTAATCTATTAATTAAAAGTTGTATTTAATCTCCCCTTGAGAAGAATGAAGCTACATTTTTTCTTTGTTAAATAATCTGTTTGGTTAATGTGTATAATTTATAAAAACAATAAGACAAAATAATTGGGTTTTCAATTTCAGACAAGCTTCAGCTTGAGAAGACATGAGTTTGTAACTGATATGCTTTAGTGAAGAAAGATGGCCAACAAAGATAAGTACACATGATGCTACTAACTGTGGCAGCTCCAACCATCATGTTCATCACAACTATCTGTAATTGGATAGCTTCAAGAGGCGACGCACCGCCCATTATCATACCGGTCATGGCTCCTGGCAGAGAGATCAAACCAACGGTTTTGCAGCTATCCAAAACCGGAGATAGAGATATCACCAAAGCTCTCTTCACCTGTTGCAACGTCGCTTGTCTTGGCGTTGCTCCTAGTGCCAATGCTGTCTCCACCTATGGTTTTTGACAACAACAAAAATTAAACCGGGAACTTGGTTCGGTTAAGCTGAGTATAAAATCATTGTTGTGAAGAAGGTTAACCAGGTTAAGTTGCATCTTGATGTCGTCTCGTAGCTGTTTCATGGTAACTCCGGTGACCGTCATGGCGTTTCCGACCATCATTCCGGCCACAGGGATCATGTACCTTGGAGTGAAAGGAAAGACGTTGAGGACGATGAGGAGGAACATTGTGATTGCAGTTCCGGAGAGGATAGCTATTCCAGCCACGTATTTCCCACGTGGCACGTGCTTGGCACGTTGTCCGGCGGTGTAACCGGCGACAGAGACCTGACCAGAATCAAAATGTTTTAATAAAATACAGAGCAGATACAGAGATACTCAGACTCAGTGCTGGTGCCTAAAAGTATCACGAGGCAAAAAAATGGTTCATTTTACTTAGAAAATAGTGAAAACTAGGGCTGGGCATTCGGGGTCCCAATCGGGTTTCGGTTCGGGTTCATTCGGGTTTCGGGTTTTCGGGTTCATGAATTTCAGCCCCATTCGGATATTATAAAAATTCGGGTCGGATTCGGTTCGGGTTTAATCGGGTTCGTTTCGGATTTAGTAACATGTCCAAAATCCAATTGAACCCGAAATAGTTTCGGTTTCGGATACTTATTGGGTTATCGATTCTAAAAATACTAATTTATACTCAAATAAATTCACTATATTTTCTATCTTTTTATTAAATTGTGTATTTAGCTTCTACAAACCGTATTGTTCTGCTTCTAAATAATATTATGAAACTCATCTATCAACAATATAAGATTTGTCATTGAACTATATGTGACAACACTAAACATATCATGATTAATGATAAATCAAAGTCTTGTATGAACGAAAATCATACATAATGAAACATAAAAAGTTAAAATTAACAGCTAACAATTATATAAACGTAAGAAGTAATATTGAAAATTTTAAAAAACAACATTATTTAAACTTCAAAACAAACTTATTCGTAACTTAACTTCAAATGTAGTGTCAATCATAAACATTAGTAACAGCCAAATAACACTTTATATTAGACTAAATATTTGAGTTAATTATTCATATCATAATTAATTATTATAGATATTCAATAATATATTAATGTGTTTTGGAAACATATTAGAAATTTAGATTAAGTATGATATAAGTTTTTTTGGAAGTTTAAAGTTTCGGGTTCTTTCGGATATCCGTTTAAGTTCGGGTTCGGTTCGGATAAAACCCATAACCCGAAATACCGTAAAACAAGATTCATTCGGTATTTATGTCGGGTTCGGATCGGTTTGGATTCCTTTTTATCGGGTCGGGTTCGGTTCGGATTTTCGGTTTTCGGTTTTTTTGCCCAGCCCTAGTGAAAACAGTGTAACACTAACTTCTAATGTAAATTGACATTTGATGTTTTTGATTTTCATTTTGTAGGAAAATAACTATAGAAACATTTTATGTATAAACCTAAGTTCTACATAGTTAAGAAGTTTTCAACATTTTTTTTTAACAAAAGTTTCAACATTTTAAACGAGAAAAATTTAATACCATAAGAGCAAATTCCAGTGAGAGGTTCTTAAAGAGTATATCAAGATTTGAAAAAAAAATGAAATAGAAGGAAAAATATTTAGCAAATGAGAGCCTATAAAATACTTACGACACAACATATTTCAAGTTAATTCATTTCAGTTTTACAGAATAAAATTAAAATATATATAGTTAAATTATATTGAAATAGCTAGAAATGCATATTTTTGTTTCTCAATGACTATATTATTATTTTGCTTATGTAATTATCCATGAATATGAGACAACCCCAAAAGTTACTATTGTGTCTAAGGGCTTGAGGCTAATGCCTCAAAAGTTGTAGGGTAAGCACAACCCTGCAGATACTCAAGTGGAATAGATTGGAACTAACCATGAAAAGATAAGCAAGGATGATCCAGCCTGCGTTTTCTTGGTTGAAAATGAACTGAAGAACGAACCCTATAACGGAGAGCTGAATAAACGATCTGAAAACAGAGTAGATCATGTCACCTTCCAAAGAGAGTTTCTGCGAGTAGGAGAGAGCCACGGCTAGAAGCACAACCGAGAGAGCCGCTGCAGGCTTCACCATGCCTTTGAGATAATCTATCAGCCATTCGTCGTTCTTGAAAAAAGTTGCTACCCAATCAAGATCCATGTCTCTCTCTCTTTTTTCTCTCGCTTTACTTTTGTTTTTGTCGTGTTTGTAGGAGGGTGGTAGTGGTGGAGAGGAGGGACATAATAAAGAGAACAACAAGTGATAGTTAGTTGACACTTTCTTCTAAACTTTATAGCATCAGTCGTTGTTTAGGATTCCTTTTTTTGGATTCGCTTCCTTCTTTAAAACAAGTTTAATATCAATCGTGCAAAGTCGTTGGTTAAAAGATAAACTATTAACCAAGAAATGTTTGCAAGAGTGTCTACACTTCTCACTGTTTTTTATTCACTTTAATTATTATATTTTAGAGGAAATCGAGAGAAGAACATCATACAGAACAAAGTCAAAGAGTTGAGTAGGTCTCAAGGGAGAACTCTTGCTGCATTTTACCACATTATATAGCTACATTCATTTGATTACCTGTTAATTGAAATTAGTCCACTATTTTTTTCATATAGTAATGGATGTTTAAAGCATTTTTTAAACCGATGAGAAATGTTTTTTACCCAAAAAAAAACAAAAACCGATGAGAAATGTCACATCAACTACTTAACAATAGATAAATTTTTTAATCATATATGATCCACGTCAAACAATTTCACTTGTACTACAAACTCTAAAAAAATTCTGCAAGCTTGTTTCCACTACTTTGTATAAATAATAAAATCACAATCTTTGAGATTCAAACTCCATAACTTATAAAATCATTATGATTTATCCTTTGGGTTTGGAATAAAGATTGGCTTATCTTTTATGCGTTTTATTAGAGGTACTACATATGATCTACGAGACAATGAAGAACATGAACAATCTCTAACATTCTACAGTTGCTACCATCTTCAGCTTTAAACATGAAAACAACATTATTAATCTCAATCCAACTACAACCTGGATTCGTCCTCAGTCCTTTATCTTTCATCACCTTCCTCACTGCCGCCGCCTCTTTATAGTACTGCACACTTGCGTAAAGATTCGCCAGCTGGACATGTGTCGCTGCACATTCAGGTTCGAGCAACAGCCGTTCCTCTGCAGCTCTGATTCCCATCCAGACATCACCATGAACACGGCAAGAGAAGAGCAGAGATCCCCATATGACCGAGTTTGGTTCCATCGGCATGTTCTCAATCAACTCTAACGCTTCTTGCAACAAACCAAATCTGCCGAGGAGATCAACTAGACAAGAGTAATGGTTTAGTTGTGGCTTCAAGCCGTGCTCCGTCATCAAACTGAAGAACTTTCTCCCTTCTTTTACCAGACCTGCGTGTCTGCACGATGACAAGACTCCTAGATACGTGATTTCATCTGGCTTTGTCCCGCTTTTTGGCATCACTACTTCAAAAATCTTGATTGCTTGCGTTGCAAGTCCGTGCTGCGCGTAACCAGCAATCATAGAGTTCCAAGACACAACGTCTTTATTCTCAAAATGGTCAAATACACGAAACGCATCCTTCAAGTCTCCGCATTTGCAATACAGTGAGATGAGTGCGTTTGAGATATGGAGATAAGACTTGAAACCCATTTGTAGCGTTTGGCAATGAACACTTCTCCCTTGCCCTAACGCTCCACTTCCTGTACAAGCGCCTACGAGAGCAGTGAAAGTGTAATTATTCGGATCAGAGGTTGAGCTTCTCATCTCTGAATAAAGCTTCAAGCAGATATCTACTCGCCATTCTTGCGCAAACCCTGAGATCATAGCCGTCCACGAAACAACGTTCTTCTCAGGCATTTCTACGAACACTTTATGTGCATTATCTACCTCACCAGAATCTCTATACAAAACGACCAGAGAACTTCCTACGTAGACATCTGAGATCAACCCATTCTTCAACGCTATACAATGAAACCCATAACCTGTTTTAAACTCTCGCTTCGACCCGCAAGAACTCAAGGCGGAGGACAAACCATAAGCATCGAAACTCCACCCTTTCCCGCCATTGACAAAGCTTGAAGAGTCCTCCTCAAGCAGGACTTCTTCCAGAACGCTTGAGACTCCATGATTGGTTCTTGAGAGATCACAATCCTCGGAAACTGCTTGACTTCTCAATCGTCTCGAATCCGTTTTCAGAAACTCACCAAAATCGTTCTGACGATGCGAAGCTTCACCAGATTTTGAGGAGATGATGTCTAGAACTCTGAGAGCTCGAGCTCGTCTCTCAACTTCAGTGACGTCGTTAGCTATATCACGATTCAGTGATCGACTGTGTCCGTAGCTGGATCGAGTTTGGATATAACTGAAAGCCCGACAATGATATTTTCTCAGACAAGACATGAAAACTAAACATGTCCGTAAATTCCAATACTCTTAAATACTTAGAAGTGATTACATATGGGCTTAAGGCCCATTAAAGGCCCATGATCTTGCGTAATATATCCATAAATGTTTATTTCCTCCGGTTTAGCTTTTGGTTAGATATGAATGAAGGTGGGATTCGAAATACAACGAGCCTTACAAGCCTTGCTCAACAAGGCGACAGTTGACGGCGGCGCGTACGGTCACCTCCTCCACCACTTCACCCGCCACCGTCTCCCTCTCCACGCGCTACAGCTTCACGCACGAATAATCCTCTCCTCCATCACGCCTGACAACTTCCTCGCTTCAAAGCTCATTAATTTCTACACCAGAGAGAACCGTTTCCGCCAAGCCCTCCATGTGTTCGACGAAATTACCGTTAAAAATGCATTCTCTTACAATGCACTTCTCATCGCCTACACTTCGCGTGAGATGTATTTCGATGCTTTCAACTTGTTCTCGTCGTGGATTAGATCCTCGGGTAGTACTGCTAGGCCAGATTCTATTACCATCTCTTGTCTGTTGAAGTCCCTGTCGGGTTACGATGGTTTCTTGTTGTGTTCACTGGCTCAGCAAGTTCATGGGTTTGTGTTACGAGGTGGGTTTGATTCTGATGTCTTCGTGGGCAATGGGTTGATCACTTACTATACAAAGTGTGACGATATTGTATCTGCGAGGAAAGTGTTCGATGAAATGTCTGAGAGAGATGTCGTCTCGTGGAACTCTATGATTTCCGGGTATTCTCAAAGTGGGTCTTACGAGGAGTGTAAAGAGTTGTATAAAGTAATGTTAGGTTGTCCTGAACTGAAGCCTAATGGAGTTACTGTAATAAGCGTGTTGCAGGCGTGTGGACAATCAAGCGATCTTGTTTTGGGGATGGAAGTTCACAAGAAGATGATTGAGAGTCATATTCAGATGGATTTATCCTTGTGTAATGCTGTGATTGGTGTTTATGCTAAATGTGGTAGTTTGGATTACGCAAGAGCGTTGTTTGATGAGATGAGTGAGAAAGATTCTGTGACCTACGGGGCTATAATATCAGGTTATATGGCTCATGGTCTTGTCAAGGAAGCAATGGATTTATTCAGTGAGATGGAGAGTGTTGGTTTGAGTACTTGGAATGCTGTGGTTTCGGGTCTTATGCAGAATAATAATCACGAGGAGGTTATAGATTCGTTTAGGGAGATGATAAGATGTGGCAACAGGCCAAACACGGTGACCCTTTCGAGCCTTCTTCCTTCGTTGACATATAGTTCAAATCTGAAAGGGGGTAAGGAGATTCACGCTTTTGCCATCCGTAATGGTTCCGACAACAATATATATGTTGCTACCTCCATCATAGATAACTATGCCAAATTAGGATTTCTCCAAGGAGCTCAGAGGGTTTTTGATGCCTGTAAAGAGAGGAGTTTGATTGTCTGGACTGCGATTATAACAGCGTACTCTATTCATGGGGACTCTGATTCTGCTTATAGTCTTTTTAACCAGATGATATGTCTTGGAATTAAGCCAGACAATGTCACTTTAACTGCTCTTCTTTCAGCTTGTGCACACTCTGGAGAATCAGAGAAGGCGCAGAGCATGTTTGATTCTATGTTACCGAAGTATGGTATTGAGCCTGGAGTTGAGCACTATGCTTGTATGGTAAGTGTTCTTAGCCGAGCTGGCAAACTCTCGGATGCAATGGAGTTCATTTCTAAGATGCCAGTTGAACCTATACCTAAAGTTTGGGGTGCATTGTTGAATGGGGCTTCCGTTCTTGGTGATGTGGAGATTGCGAGGTTCGCTTTTGATCACTTATTTGAGATGGAACCTGAAAATACAGGGAATTACATTATCATGGCGAATATATACACTCAAGCGGGGAGATGGGAAGAAGCTGAGATTGTAAGGGATAAGATGAGAAGAATCGGACTGAAGAAAATCCCTGGAACTAGCTGGATCGACACTGGTAAAGGATTACGAAGTTTCATTGCGAAAGATAGTTCGTGTGAGAGAAGCAAAGAGATGTATGAGACAATAGAGTGTTTGGTTGAGTCAATGAGTGACAAAGAGTGTATCATTAAACAAGAGCTTGATGAAACTTATTGATTTTTCTTGCCATGCAGTCGAATGAGTTCAAAGGTTTCTTGTGGGGCTTCTCAAGGAGATACTATGTAATGATTTTGCTTTTCATGATATGTTGTTGTTGTGATTGAACATAAGGTTGAATGGTCGGTAAAATCATAATAACTTGAGAGTTATTAACTGGTTTTGATTGAAGTGGTGGGGTTCCGAAAGAGAAGAAGAATATACTTAATTCATTAGGTTGCATCACAAATTAAGCATTATTTTGATTAAAGGGTTTAGGTAATTACTTTGATCTTTGAGTGAAGTACAAGTAAGCTCTTAATCACTCAATGTTTTCTTTGCGTGTTGCTAACTAATTTGAAGAACTTTTTTTAACACAAACTATATAGTAAAATTATAGTGAGAGGTTGAGAACACTACATATAAACTTTCACTAGGCGATTTTCCCGTGCTCATGCACGGATATGAATATTCATAAAAATAAAACTTTATAATAATTAATTGATATTTAGTTTTAGTTTTCAATAAATTTATATGTATAATTTATATTAATAAATATTTTATATTATATTATTCGAATTATACATATGACTTTGGATATATTATTGTCAGTTTAATTATTTTTTTGGATCAATAGTTGGTTTGGTTATCAATTTGGTATATTGGACAATATCTATTTTTAAAATTCAGTTATAATTTTTTTATTCTAAATATAATAAAACTTTGATTAATTTTCTTATTTTTCGGTTGGTTATTGTCTTAAATATGTAAATATACTATAGTTAAATTATGTATAACTTAATATATATTTTGCTTAAAATGAAATAAATAATAAGCTGAAGTGTTTGATTCACAATTACATAAATAAATATAATGATAATATATTGAAGTCTCATGAATTTATATAAATTCTACAAAAGAATTAAATTGCAATTGGTTAATATTTTCTTTTTCTTTTTAATATGCTTCGAGTCAACCTCTTATATGTATAAAATTAAATAGATTATTATTATTATTATTATTATTATTATTATTATTATTATTATTATTATTATAAAATTATATGCTCTTATTGTAGTTAGATATTTAATTTTTGGATATAAATTAGATTAGTCGAGTCATTCATTTTGTGAGTATATTGAGTTAAATATATTTTTAAATTAAAACTGAAGTATAATTACTTTTCATTTTAGTTAAGTCCAATCAAATTAGTTTTATTTATCGTTTAAATATACATGTATTATCATAATATTTATCAAATTATATGTTGATTTCTAAAAATATTAGAAAATAAATTGTAACTGATAAATTTTTGAATGTTCATAAACATATGTATTTTTATTATTTTGAAAATATATTTTATGTTATTTAAAAATATATATTAATGGGGATATTACTATTTTGTGAACTTTCCTTTTTAATAAAATCATATTATATACATATATTTTCGTTTTAAATTTGTTTTAAAATTTTAGAAATATTTCCTTTTTATTATTATATATTATTTGGAAAAATGTAAAAAAAAAATTATATAAAAAATAATAATAAACTTAAAATCTAACAATTCATTAAGGGTATCTATGTAATCAACCATCGTGAGAGTTAACGTGAGCGCGACACATAGGAAACTGACTTCTCAAATAATATTATAGAGATATAATCATATAAAATATAAGTAAAAATTAATAAAAATATAAGTAAAAATTATATAAAACTTAAGTAAACTATTATTGTTTAAATGTGAGATTTTATATTAACAATTGATTTTCATAAATTACGACTGTTTATATAATCAAAATGTTGGTGATAATATTAACAAATATTGCTATACAATTATTTTTATAAAATTATCTTTAATAATTATTAATATAGTTGAATTAGTGAAAAAAATATGTGATATTTTATATTATAAGAGTATTTAGAAAAAAAATGTAAAACATGTTAAAAAATTTCTTAGATTATCTAAACGTGTTAGACCGGTATTACCTCGATAATGTGTGTATGTAATTTTCGTTGATTTGTTGTCTGTAATTAAGTGGTGCATTTTTGTACAGCTACTACACTCATCTGTAGTCCACTATTTTTCATGTTTTGTACGTAATAGATGTATTGTTGAAACATTTTATGATTATTGTTTTATTACCAATGAGGAAAGTTATATCACCGACTATGCCATATAAAAATTTGTATACTACGCTAACTTTATTTCTAGTAATTTTGATAAATTGCAATCTTTAAGATTTAAACTTACTTATTTGAGGTGGAACCTGAAAATACAGAGAATTACACCATTATGGCGAATTATATACTCAAACAGAGAGATTGTAAGACCATTTCCAATATATTTTGCTATTTTCTCCTCTAAAATAGAGAAACTTTATAATAGAGATGGAATATGCTCTAATGTATTCCTTTAAAATAGCAATCTTCAAATATAGAGTAAAAATAGAGGAATGTTATTTCTTTTTCTATAAATAGAGGAAAAAAATAGAAATCTCTATTATAGAGAAAGAAATAGAAGTGGATTAGAGCAATTTCGCCTCTAAATGCTATTATAGAGAGGTGAAAATAGCAATGGATTGATGATGCTATAAGGGATGAGAAGAGAAAAATCGGACTGAAGAAAATCGCTGGAACTAGCTGGATCGAAAGTGGTAAAGGATTATGAAGTTTCATTGCTAAAGATGTTTCATGTGAGAGAGGCAAAGAGATGTATGAGATAAAAGTTTTCCATGATATGTGGGGCTTCTAAAGAGTTTCTATGTAATGATTTTAGTTTTCCATGATATGTAATTTTTGATGTTGTTGTGAATGAGCATAACGTTGAATGGTCGGTAAAATCATAATAACTTGAGAGTTATTAAGTGATTTTGATTGAAATGGTGGGGTTCCTAATGAGAAGAAGAAAATACATAATTGATTAGGTTGCTTCACGAAATGAGCATAATTTTGATTAAAAGGGTTTAGTCTCAAGAGTGAAGTACAAGTGAGCTCTTAATCACTCAAATGTTTTCTTTGCGTGTTGCTAACTAATTATCAAACCTGAAAAGAAAATTAACACAAACTATATAGTAAAATTATAGTGAGAGGTTGGGAGCATTAACTTTCTGTGTGACCACTAATGGTTATTGGATTTGAAAAGCAGACTTATAATTCAGATCTATGTAAAGGTCATAAAAATTTTCCCATTTCACATAGTAAAATGCAACCATAAAACTTTCACCAAAAACAAGCAAATGTTATTTTTGGATAGTTGTGATATTGTTTTTTTTTTGGTAGGACAGTTGTGAATCTTGTGATATTGTTGACAAAGAGATTTGTGACACTTATCGTATAACAAATAGGATGATTCCTCTTGTTCACATGCATATTTTCGGTATTATATAAAATAAAAACTAACCTTGTAGTAAGAAGTTAGACTTATTTACCTTGGAAAAGAGGTCTTGAAGTGGGAGATTTACCAACTCACGAGAATCCTGTCTCTTTGTCTTCCAAATTAACAAAGAGGTAACAAAAGTACAACCCCACCCAGACTGTCGTTTTGCTTACACACATTGTCGTTTTGCTTACAACATGTCCTCTACACTACAGATTCTGTTTTGAAACTTCAAAAACTTTTGGGTTTTAAGTTCATTTCCCTCTTCTCTCTCCAGGGAAGGGATTTGAAGTAAATCTGGATCTGTTTTACTATTTGAACTTGAGAATATTTATTGATTTTTGTAAGGAAGAGTGTCGACTGTTTCTTGGTAAGTTGGTTTTTAAAGTATGATGTTGATATGTTCCTTACTGAATGAACAATAAATGTTAATCATAATGACATGAATCTAACAACACATTGGTCTTGTTATTGTTTGTTTTCACTTTTTTGCAGTTAGGTGTGAAGTTGAGCTTTCTAAGCTTTATTAAAAAAAAACAGTATGACAATTGATGCCTTCAATTACAACACAAAATGCAGGTTTGGTTTCTCTTTCTCTCTATATATGAAGTTCTATATAGAGAGTCTATTGAGGAATTGATTTTGTCTATCTTTTTTTTTTGTTAAGAACAAATTCTGCAAGTAAGAAGATGGAGGAAGAAGAGAAGGAAGATCTGAGAACTGTGGAGTGTCTAAGAGGAAGACTACTTGCAGAGAGGCAGCTTTCAAGGTCAGTAAAAGATGAAGCAGAGCTCATTACCAGAAAGGTAACTTTACAAAATCAAAACTATCATTCTTGTTTAATAAATGCCTTTTTCTCTCTTCTTTCAAAGTTTGTTTTTGATCAAGAACCAATAAAAGAGTCATTCTAGTTACTTTAGTATCAGGATAGATTCATTTTCTCTGTTAACTTTTCTTTATCTTTGTTTGGTAATAATCTCTTGGAAACAGATGGAAGAGCTGGAGAGATATCTAAAAGAAGAGATCAGATTAAGGGAAAAAGCAGAGAGGAGACTAAAGTTTCTGATGAAAAAGCTTGAATTCATAAAAGGATCTTCCAATTCCGAGGGATCAGAACAGTTAAGTTCATCTGAAGTTTCTTGTTTGTCATCGGTTTCCACTTCAGCATCTAAGCAAGAAGAAGCAACTCAAGAAAATGGATTTGTGGGTGAAGAACAAGTTGATCAAGAAATTGAAAATGCTGCCTCCATGGAAGAAGAAGAGTCAAATTCAAAGCTCAAAGATGCTTCTTCAACCTCAAGTCATGAAGCAGAATCACAGGCTAGTAATGACTTTTCTTAAGAGTTCAAGAATCAAGAATATCCATTACTCATCTCCTAAATAACTTTGATTGAGAACTGTTTCTCTGATGTTGGATCCTGAAGCTACAACTACTAATACCATTAGTATAATACTTTTGTGGAAGTTCTTGATCATGGGTACAGAGGAGAATGGAGATAGAGAAGAAGAAGAAGGAGAAGGGCATGTGCTCATTCATAAAGGGATCAGTTTGGCTTTTAGGACACCTTTGAGTTTGACAGTATTAAATTCAAAAGTGTTAGTAGAGATGGGGAGGACGACAAGACACAGACTTGTCTCTTTCTTCTTGTGATTTTTGTTATCAAAGAATGAAAGTGACATTTCTTGAAAATTATGATGTGACTGAATAAAGGATACTAATTAAGATCATTTCTCTATGGTAAAGAAAATGAGTTACAAAAGTCTAGACTGACACTATCTTGAATCTTCCTGTGGATTTTTTTATTTATAGATCTTTTGTACTTTACTAGACGTACATCTGTTCAAACAAGAAGCACTATAAGCATGTTCTATTGTGTTCCATTTCAAGTGGGTACTTAACCTAATTACTGTCTTATAGGTCAAATGTTGGCACTAGTGTGACCTTGATGCATTAGTATATAAAAATTTATAATGATTTGTGAAATAAATTTTGCTTTTGTTTAGTGTTGTTACAAATAGTGTGACAAAGAATACGTGCATGTCCGTACAGCAATGTGTAAAACGAATATACCCTTTTGTGTTTATGGACCTTTTGGTTGGTGTGTGATCACTCGATCATCGTTTCTGAAAGTTGAGTTTGGCAACAAAGAAAGCAAACATAGAAGCCAATGCAATTGGAAACGCGATGAGAACAATGGCTGAAACCAACAAACGATCATGATGGAATCCAAAGTAGTCTTCTAAGAATTTAGAAACGGTTGTGGTCTCTCCAAACGCATTGATCTCTTGATGAATATCACCGTACTGAGACGAGAAAAACACATTGAGACTCCAAGAGGGAGGTGTTAGATAGTAAAGCCACACCCACCACTTTGGTATTTGCTGCAATTTTTCAACATCAAGAAAACACTTTAAATATCAAAGATTATTGATGAGACAATGATACAAAAAGATCTTACCGGTAGTGGAATCAAGAAACCAGCAAAAAGGTTGAAAGCAACGAAGAAAAGAGACTGAAGAATAGCTGCGAGCATGAAGTTTGGAGTGATGGAAATGAGGAACAATGCTAAGTAGTTGAAGCTGAGTAAGTTGCAGAACATTGAGTAGAGACTCCAAAAGACTTTGTAAGCAGATCCGTATAAACCCATCATAGGATATATTATGATCACAAACTCTGCGCTTTGGATGAAAATGTAAGGAATCTCAGTCACAACTTGAGCCAATGCAAAGGCAAAGGCAGAGTACATTCCAGCGAATCTTTCACGGTACATAACATTACGCTCTGTCTCAAAATACTGTAACGCTGAAGTGCAGTTGTTTACTCCCAAGAAGATCACAAGGCCATAGATGGCTCCTAGAACTGTAAACAGGTTCTGTTGAGTATCTCTGCCCAAAAACATACAAAAGACAATGAATACTAAGAAAGGAAAATTCCTTAGATAGAACAACAAAATTATAACAAAAATATATAGCACAAATTCTCAAAACTATCATTAGTTAATATTTGTTTTTTTTTAAACATAACCCTAACTCTACTCTATTACTTAAGTTCTGTTAAGATTTTTTTTTTTCTGAACATAACACTATCATTAGTTAAGATTTAAATGACTATATTACTTTGTATCTTAAACTCTTATCATAACCCTAACTCTACTCTCGAAATACTAGACACTAAACCCTAATCACAAAACTTTCACCCTAATACCTTTAGTTAATGCTCTTTTGAAATAAAAGTTCACGTGTGCTATTTTTGGAATAAAATAGTATTTAACTACTAAGAATGGAATGATGATTTGAATGAAGTTTATGCAGCTAACTTACATCGTTTGGCCTTGCTTCCAGAAGAGTAAACCAAAGATCAAAGAAGAGACTAAAGTGTGAAAGATTCGCATCAAGTTGTAAGCAGGGCTTCTCCAGTAAGACAAGCTCATCTTCCAAAGACAAGATTTGAACTGTTCCCACCAGCTCTGAGCAAAAGTTCTCTCGAAATGCAAATCGCTTGACCCGGGATCCGGTTTGCTCAGCTCTTGAGCAAGTTCTGAGTTGCTCCTGCCACAGAACAAACACATGAGCTCGTAGACAAGGTTTCTTTGTTTATTGAGATCTTCAAGCTCACTTGTAGAGAGCTGATTCGTTGTAGATTTTTGCGAAGTCCATGTTGAGTTCAATCTCTACAGACTGTGATGTGACCTCTAGCATCCATGTTGCTGGATTGTAATTGTCTTTAATCTTTGCAACTCCAGGGATACTCTGTTTGTTCATCAACCCCCAACAACATGTTACTTTTACTTTAAAAAAATTCAGTCATGGAAAGGGTGTATATACACTGACTTATGTTTCTTGTGTAACACGCTAACCTCAAAATACTGTATCACATGAGAAGAATGTTGTCCAAGTGGTCCAGTGTAAATCATGCGACCTCCTCTCTTCAGAAGTACCAACTGAACATGTAACAAATAACAATATGCTATAATAGTTTTCTTCTTAATTAGCCAAAAAATAGTCAAAACTCCAAAACATCACCTTTAAAGTTTATCACAAAAATAACACTAACAAATCTTCAAAAAAGCAATATTTTTTTTTTTAAATTATAATTAAATTACTCTAGTTTTAGAAAGCCTAATCTCATCCATCTCTTCTAATCTCTAATCATTAAAACCTAAATTCAATATTATATAGTTTTAATTTTTAATAAAGGCTATTTTTTGAAAGAAAAAAAATCTCTTATATCTATTTTGGATAAGATCAGACGGAGGCATATATGAGCTTGTGGGGTTAAGTGACCCCAATAAAAATGAAAAAAATAAATATTGGTATATATTTTAAAAAATTATTATAATATTTGGTTAAAATTTAGCATTTGATCCCACTAACTTATGTATAAATATTTTTATGACAATTTAAAAATATATATATTTTACAAAAAAAAATATTATAAATATATTAAATTTATATAATATGACCCCAGTCAGAAATATTTTTTGTTCCGCCACTGGATAAGCTAGATGTATTCCTTAAAAAAGTCATTATTTTTGGATAAGATGTTGTTTTAATAATTTTGTCGTTCACATGGATACCGAGCTCCAATGTGGTGCACAGAGTCAATATGAGTCGGTGTTTTCGATGAAAAAAAAAAAAAAAATTATATTTGAAACAAAAAAATGTGCTACCTCGTCAAAGGCTTCAAAAATATCGATGCTAGGCTGATGAATAGTGCACACAATGGTACGTCCAGTCTCCGCAACGTTCTTCACAGCTCTCATCACAATGGCAGCTGCTCTTGCATCCAGCCCCGTCGTGGGCTCGTCCATGAAAATGATCGACGGATTCGCCACCAACTCCACCGCCACAGTTAACCTCTTCCTCTGCTCCGTCGATAGTCCACTCTGGCCAGGGACTCCCACCATAGCGTCCTTGATATCCTCTAGCTCTATCGTCTCAAGAACTTCCTTCACAAATCTCTGCAACAAGTTTTTTTTCCACTCAAGTTACTTTCTTGGTCATTCTTGCTTTTTTTTAGAATTACTAGGGCTTACTATTTTTGTTTTGTGATCTATTTCTGGAACTAGACGGAGCCAAGCGGAGTAGATTAGAGACTCCTCGACGGTGATGTTTGGTGAGTGTATATCTGTTTGCTCGCAGTAACCTGAGACTCTTGCAAACGTTTCTTGGACTTTAAGGTATCCGTTGATTTTGATCTCTCCTTCTATGTATCCGCTTGTTTTTCTTCCGGCGAGAACGTCTAGTAGAGTTGTTTTTCCGGCTCCACTGATCCCCATCAAGGCCGTTAGAACGCCTGGTCTGAAAGCTCCGGTGATGTCTGAGAGTAGCTGTAGTTTCTTCTCATTGTATCCTTGAGCTCTCATCTCCTGAGATTAGTCAACCATTACATATGAAGATGGTTTAAGATCCAAGAATGGGGGAGGAGAAGCTTTTACCGCAGGAACGTCTACGTAGTAGTTCAAGTTTTGAAATGTTATGGTGAGAGGCTTAAAAGGTAAGACCATCTTCCCTGTTGAATGAGAGTTAGGTTAATGAGGGAAAACAGAGAATAAAGAGTTTGCTTGTGTGACAAGAAAGACATTATATGTTCACCTGAATCATTGTTCGTCTCTTCTATGTAATCTATTCCCTTCTTGTTCTTCTTGACTGATGAATCTTTTGCTCCTTGCAGCTCAGAGAGCTTGTCTTTAGAGATCATAGAACGAGATGTAGTAGGAGCTGTTAAAGAAAAAAAAAGCTCGTTAGTATATGCTCTCTGTTCCATGGCATAGTTTTGTAACTTACATTTCAAGAAAGTCAAAGCTAGAGTGAAGATGGTGTTGAAGATAAGGGTCTGACCCAGCAAGGCACCTAATGAGACCCAATACATGTAATCATCATAGTTCAGTCCTCTGCTTTCAAGTATAGTTCTCCCTAAGGTAACATTCGTTGGTAGCATCTGCAAAAAAAAAAACTGATTAGTCTTGTAATAAAGTATGTAGGAGAGGAGAGACTTACTTGCTGCCACCTCGGAGCAAGAAACTCGTTTACAGAGAGCCCAATCTCTGCGTAACCTATAGGATTCACCCAGAAACCCCATTTCAACCACCCTGGCATATCAGCTGCAACAACAAAAACATGTTTTGATGGAAGTTTGGAACAAAGATTGAAGTGAAAGAGAGAGTTAAAGTCTTACTGTAAGGGATGGCGAAACCAGCGAACACAAAGGTGATTAAAATGGCAAAACTACCAGCTGCCATTGCAGCAACTCCTGTCTGAAAGACTGCAGCTATACATCGGAACATGGATATGGATGTGAAGTGAACAGCAAAGAGCATCATGAACTGACGCAAGAACCTAAAAAAAAACAAATATCCCAACATTTTTATGACATTCTCAGGCTTGAGTAAGGAGCAAGGAAAGAGATGGTTATAGAGAGGTTCTCACCTGGAGACTTCAGGAGTGTATCCGATGACGTAGTAAGTAAGGCAAGTCCAAACTAGGGATTCAAAGAAAGAGAGAGGAACCTTTAACACTGTTGCAGGGATTGCATAAGCCCAAGCTGGATAGAAACAAAGTTGCTTTTGCTTGTAGAACACGGAAAGTCTTTGAACAGTCATAGACAGCTCTGGAACACCATCAACCAAAAGCACAACCGTTGCGAAAAAGAGGGAACTCATGTAAGAGTTTCCATGAATGATATCTATGCCCATCCGTGTTCTAATAAACACTGTCATAGTGAGGATTGCTGACAGAACAAGCTGCACACAACATAAGGCAAGAAACGGTTTCTTTAGAACCTTGAAAGAAGACAGAAGGAGGAGAGGGATATGAGTGTGGTTAACCTGAAACGTCTTGAAGAGGTAGACGAAAGAGTTTCTTTTCATTAGAAGAAACTCTCTTGAGATGCATGCTCTGAACAGCTCCCACTTTGGAAGAGAATAGGCATTGAAAGAAAGAGCATCTTTGTAGGTTTTTGATTTATCATAAGGCTTAGAGAGAGCATCCTCAAGCTTTCTCCCAATCTCTAACTCCTTGAATCTCTTTGACAATGTGTCTACTGAGACAAAGCTATGAGGTATGTCCTTGTGCAGCCAGTACTGTCCTTGGTCCTTTCTTGATATAACCTGCAAAAAAAAACCAGTTAGGACTATTGGATCATAAGGTCAGTGTCAGGGAACAGAATCTTGGCTTCTTACCTCTTGGAGAAAGTCTGCAACACCTTTCCTCTCTGGGCATCTAAACCCACACTCCTCAAAGAATCTCAAGACCTCATCTCTTGGACCATGATACACAATTTTTCCTTCAGCCATCAACACAATATCATCAAAGAGTTCATATGATTCTGGTGCAGGTTGAAGAAGTGAAACAAACACTGTTGCGTTGGTGATGTGAGCCAGCTGCTGAAGTGACTTGACTATCTGAAAAGCTGTGGAGCTGTCTAAGCCGTTTGTAATCTCATCCATAAAAAGAGCTTTTGCTGGACCAACAATCATCTCTCCTGTAGTAAGACGCTTCTTTTGACCACCAGATATGCCTCTTTTCATCGCATTTCCAACCAATGTCTCTGCACATATGTCAAGCCCTAGGATCTGAAAAAAAAATGCAATATGATACATAATCAAGAAGCTAATCAACAAAGTCCACAAAGTCTGAGTTGCATCAGAGAAGCTACCTTCAAGATGTAATCTGTTTGCAGACTTCTTTTAAGTCCATTAACCGATATAGCCTGCACAATGGGATTTACAGAAGGTTTTATAATCAGACCTCTTAGTTAAAAGATCAGTTTCAGCATTACCTTCATGTAAGCATCTACGTCCGGGTCAGGAATGATTCCACCATCTTTTTCTCTTTTACTGACCTCCATCATAATATCTGTTTCAGCAAGTAGTTTTAGAGAATGCTTCTTCAGAGAGACCAATGCTTTTATGATGACATCTTTACCTGTTCGGCTACCAACACCTTGACAACGAGCTGAGAAGTCTATTGTCTCCCTAACTGTCATCTCTGCAATGTGCAGATCGTGTTGGCTTATGTAAACTGATGTCTTCTGAGGGAAAAACTCGTTTAGACCATGTCCATTGTAGGAGATTTCACCAGAAAGCTGTTGAATACAAAGGAGTGGTTTTAACACATCTAGCAGCATAAGGAATCAGATTGAGACAAAAGTCTGAAACCTTTAGATTCTTGTCCAAGTTTCCGGACAAAGCCTTAAGAAGAGTGGTTTTGCCACATCCAGGAGGACCAAGCAGCAGTGTTAACCTTGAGAAACAACAAGTGACATTAGTTGATTGCATTACACACAACTCAAAGATTGGATCAAAAGAGGCAACTAACCTTCCCGGGTTAATGATGCCGCTAACATCGTTAAGTATGCTTATCTTGGCTTCATGTGTTCTTACACCACTCAGCTTTATCAACTCCTAAATAAGAAAAAGAGTATAGTTCACTACCAGCTGAGTGTATAAACAAAAACAGATGTACAGGATGTAACACAGTTTTTTTGCTTGAATATAATTTTACATTCATTCAAAAAATAAAAATAAAAATACAGGGGGTTGGAATTTTAATTATTCACATAATTAATATACAAACCCTAAACTAATATTTGCTTCAACCGTGTTTTGCTTTCTTATTTTTTTTTGTGCTGTCTTCGAAGTTAATTCGCGTTTGTTCACATAAAGTTATTACCAACTTACAATATGCATTACATTCTCGAGTATACTTACTAAGACAATGTGCTTCAAGGAGTTCCACAAAGATGGAAGAGCCTTCCCTTCAACCACTTCACATTCTGCATCAACACTTAAATGCTCATACCTCACTTCTATGCTTGGAAGCTCCAGACCAACCCTGCAAGCAGTGGCGGAGGTAGAAACAAAATCTACCGGGGTCAAAGTTACATACACATAAATTTATTGGAAGATTTACAACTATCAAGTGGGTCAAATCATTAAAAATGAGCCAATTAATCAATGTTTATTGCAGTTATATGCTTATATTAGATAAAAATTGAGAATTGACAGGGGTCAGTTGACCCACATGCCTCTTCACTGGCTCCGCCACTGCCTGCAAGTAAACAATTCAGTTTACAAACTCAAGTTCAAGTTTTGTTTCTTATAGTTTTATCATAATATTATTATTTTATTTACTTTTATTTTTTTTGTAAAAAGGCTTTCTATTAAAATGCAAGTTACAGTCATGACAAAAGTCATACAGTTTTATCATAATATTCACCTGTCTATTCTTCTTCTGATTTTCTCGAGCAGCTTGAGATTATCATTCTCAATGTGTTTGATCAGCTTCTCAATCATCACATGACGTTCTGTGGCTCCAAGCTTGGTGACATCAACAACCCTTTTCCCTTTCTCCACATCATTGCCTTCTTCATCAACCAGAGATGATCTCAGACGTTTGAAAGAAGGCAGCCTCTGAATCTCAGCCCATTGGAGAGCGTGCTCTGCCTCATCCTCATGCTCATTTCTTGAAGAGTTGCTCCTGAAACTCCCCATGCTTTTTCCAAACTCTGCAAGCTCCATTCTCAATTCTTCTCCACTCATGCCTCAATGAGTACTACGCTCTTGGCTTCTTATCTTATGAGATGCTCAGAAGTCAACTATAAGATATGCATTTGTCTTCTTTGTGTGATACATTTAAATGCTTAGACGTCTTTTCACTACTACAACTGTTATGTGCTAACTTTTGAGAGTGTCAACATCATTATTTTGTGCTTTTTTGGGTAATTTGCTTCATTTATTTCCTTTTGTTTTAAAATCAAATGGTTGGAATATGGTCGGAAACAAACAATTCGAATTGACGGGAGGTGGGATACTCTCCTTTAAAATAAACCAAACTTATTTACAAAAGAATTAAAAAGCGATAATAATTCAAAAAAATACTATTCCTCTAGCAATATCTTCAAATTTAATAATAATAAAAACTAGACTAGAATAATGCATTGGGATGTTTTATTGGGTTAAGAAAGTGGGAAAATTAAAGTATTATTACTTTGCGTAAAAAGTAAAGTATTATTATGCAATTTTAAATTACACAAGTGGTCCGGTCTATATTCTATATTTCTAGTGTTGCTAGGCCTAAAATCCGCCAGCCCTAAAAGGAAAAGAAAATCATAGATGAAGAAACTATCGACATTGATGTGGTGTTTTTTTTTTTTTTTTTGAGAAAATGCTGTGGTATATTGTTTGATAGGACATTGATGTGGCATATATATTCTATCTTAGCAGTTTGTGTCGACCAAAAATGTTCTCATCCTCATGTTCATTTCTTGAAGAGATGCTCTTGAAACTCGATCCCATACTTGTTCCAATCTCTCTGCAAGCCCCCCTGTCCACTCTTCTCTACCCATGCATCCACGTCTCCAAATTAATGCTTTGGTTGTCTTTAGTTTTGAGAGTATCTTATCATATCTCAAGCAATCTTCACATTCATTGTCTATCACTTTCACAATAATTGTTGATTCTTCAAGATCAGTTTGTATCTTGTGGGAAAGTCTACTAATTTTAACGAATTAGAGTGTTATATTTTTATTCCTAGAAAAAATTGCAATAACAAATTAACTTAACTTACTATAACATTTAAACATAAATATTTTCGATAAATAATCTAGATTTTTTTCTTTTAAATTCTGTCGTCTGAGGTAAACTGACTTATTTGTAAGTGAATTTTTTTAGTTGTCAAACATTTGTAAGTGAATATCCTATAAATTATATGATATACGACAAAATGGAGTAACAAATATACAAGCAATGATCTCGTGATAATTAGCAAGAAGAGTGGGCAAATCTTTCAAAGTTTATTGGAATCATGGACCAAAAAACCGACAAAACTCACGTGTTGCGAGGGACGGTGCATGGACGAGAGCTTATAGCAAGTCGACATCCCGCATTGAATGCTCTAAAGATTTGTAACCTCCTTTCTTGTATAACGACTTGGACTGGGCCAAGTGAATCATGGCCCGTTTTCATGATAGCCCATTGGGCCTAATAAAGTCCCATCTCTAGTAAAAATTAGGGTTTTGTTTCTTCATTTGAGCTACCTCCTTCTTCAAGCAGTAGCGGCTAAAAAAAGATAAACCTAGTTTGTCTCTTCTCCACACGACACTTACGAGCCATGGCCGCCGCCGTAGAGATTGACGCTGAGATTCAGCAACAGCTTACCAACGAGGTCAAGCTCTTCAACCGTTGGAGCTTTGACGACGTTTCGGTAATGTTTTAAGATCTTTCTTTCAAAAAACGTTTTAGAGAATGGACACTGTTAGTTTATTACAGTACAAGAGTTGCATTGTCTGAGTAGAGATCTGCCTGTCTTGTTTCTTGTCGGAAAAAGTGTCTCCTTTATGTTTTTTTGTGTTTAATTTTCCGACCATCTTCATTGTCTCGAAACACTTGGTTGATCCCTGATATTTCTTTATTTTAAAAGACCAAAAACTTTCTGTTTGATTGAGATGCTGCTTTGGTTGTTTTAGTATATTTAGATATCTAAAATTGGTGTTGACAAAAGAAAAAGAAAAAGAAAAAAAAAAGATATCTAAAATTGGTAAGAATGGCTATATTCTTAGTATTGGTTTTATTGATATAGTGTTTTTTGTGAATGTAGGTCACAGACATTAGTCTTGTTGACTACATTGGTGTTCAGCCTGCTAAGCACGCAACCTTTGTCCCACACACTGCTGGAAGATACTCTGTGAAGAGGTTCAGGAAGGCTCAATGCCCAATCGTTGAGAGGCTTACAAACTCTCTCATGATGCACGGAAGGAACAACGGTAAGAAGCTCATGGCTGTGAGGATTATCAAGCACGCTATGGAGATTATCCATCTCTTGACTGACTTGAACCCTATTCAGGTCATCATTGATGCCATTGTCAACAGGTTATTCAACATCTGCGTTCTCTCTTACGTGCCACTATAAACCTTTTTTTCTCATGATGTGTGTTTATTGGTGAGACAGTGGTCCACGTGAAGATGCTACTAGGATTGGATCTGCTGGTGTGGTTAGGAGGCAGGCTGTTGATATCTCTCCTCTAAGACGTGTGAACCAAGCTATCTTCTTGCTCACCACTGGTGCACGTGAAGCTGCCTTTAGAAACATCAAGACAATCGCTGAGTGTCTTGCTGATGAGCTCATCAATGCTGCCAAAGGATCTTCCAACAGGTAATAATACTCCTACATTGTCTTGTCTCTTAAAACGGCTTCCAAAATTGTGTTTGTTTGTTGCTAAATACTAATAGCATCTTGTCTTGTCTTTTGCAGCTATGCCATCAAGAAGAAAGATGAGATTGAGAGAGTTGCTAAGGCCAACCGTTAAGGAGGATCTTCCTATCCCTGGAGTTTGCATTACATCTCAAAGACCTGTTCTTGCTGTTTTTCATTAGAGAGATTTGGATATGTTTTCAGAAGATGTCCCTATCTCTTAATGATGTGTTTTTTGACACTTTGGAATCTTGATCAAAACGTTTTCATGTTTAAGCATATTTTCATCTTCATATTTAATTAAAAGTTGTTTATTTCATCAAATCTATATATACTAACAAAATAAAGCTACAAAATGGTTTTAATTGGCTGTTGAGATTGAAGATGATGCATAAATGAATCATCGACGAAGTTGGAGGGTCTCAAGAGGAAACATGATTGTGTGCCTTTGTAGGTTGTAATGAAAGCTCTCTGCTCAAGTGAATCTGTAGTAACTTCTCAGATAAGCATTGCCTCCACTTTAATCCTTGATTCCAATTTCCACGGATACTCTTGCTTATCGTTCTTCCTGCTATTATCAGCAAACTTACAAGTAACTATAGATGCAGGAAGCATTTTAAAACAAGCCAAAGTCTATGATCTCACCTTCTCTTGCTTCTGCTTGGATCATCAAGCTCTCCTTCATCACACTGGCTTCTGCAACCGGAATCCACTGATATGCTTTTAGATCACACAACCTTCATTCATCTTCTCTTATATGCTTTTAGATGACTCATTGCTTTGACAACTCCAAAGAGGATGGTAATAGACATTGTTAGGGTCTTGTCCTTTTGCTGGCTTCTGAATCACTCAAAACCATCTTGCAAGCTACTCCAAGTCTCTTAACGACTTACCTGAAGCTTATAAAAGCAACGTTAAGAATTTTTGGTTCATTAATATCTTCATCACCTTGAAAACAACTTACCATTTTAGCCAATACTGAGATGCTTGTTTGGGAGACGAGCTTTTCGGTTTATAAACCACCTAGTTTCTGACTTCCCATTGCCATTTCCTTCCACCTGAACTATTATCAGAGAGGCTGAGATGTGTTAAGAATGCAATGTAGAAGATTCAGAAAACAGATAAAAATGCCAAGAAATAGAGACAACTAGTTTGGTAGATGAATCAATTGTGGACATGAGACTGCAGCTGGCTGTTTAAACTTTTGGTGGTATAGCAGCTTCTAAAGTCACGTGGAGATACGGTAAGTGAACAAGGCAGAAGCTCACTGAGTGTCCTGAAGCTAGAGCAAGAAGACCTCGAAGCCACTGGTTTTGCTATTACCACTCTTTCACCTCTAATATTATAATCTTACTACTCTATCTTTTCCAGTCAAAAAGTTTCACTCAACCTGATAAAAGCTCCACTCTGTTATCAAAAAAAGTAATCAAGAATGTACTTCCAAGAGTCTTTAATTCATGCATCCATGAGGAAACAAAAGATTGGGATATGGACGGTGGGAGAGATCAAAGCCATCATATATAGCTTGAAATTTAGTTGCGCAAAGAATCTTTCTCATCAATACATGTTTAAAAACTCTTTTTTCTTGCCTTACTTGATTTATTTTTCTTCTTCTTACCTTAAAAATTTAGTGGAAGGCATAGTTTAAAGAAACCCGCTCATCAGCATATGTTTAAAAATTCTTCCTCTTCTTCTTTGATATGTGATAGTCATCTCTAGTGCAATGTTCTATAAGTGACTTCATCACTAGCTTTGAGTGAATAAATTTTATTTCTTGTTTTTTTTCCAGGTTTATATAGTATTTCTTTTGCATTATGAATCTGCAAATTTTGTGATAAGTTTGGACAAACTAATTGCTCTTGTGGATGATATATGTTGCTGACTTGTTTTTGACATTTTGATATTTTTTTTCCTTTAGCCGCTTGAAGTATGCGTTAATGGGTTTGTTTTATTTTGGGAAAACTTAGTCATGTTGAGTCATTAACTATAGCTTTCTTTTTGATGTGTTATATTCATATCTAGTGATATGTTTTATAGATGGTTTCATCAGTGTTTGTGTGAATATATTTTATTTATACAAATCTTTTTCACGGTGTGATTTCCTCATTTGTTTATTATGGTTTGTTTTTCTTTCAAATACAAATGATATGCCTCTTACAGTGATACTAGACTCTTGGACAAGGTGTTTAGCCCAGATCAAGTGATATGCTGGGCAATTGCTTTGACTAGACATATCCCACTATCCTTTTAAGAGTTCATAAAATTATCATAGATGATATGAGACTCTCCATACAATACTTGATAAATTAAGTGAGATATAATTTATTCAATAAAAAACCTTGGATGAGACAATTATTTTTTTGAACAAGTAAGATGATTTTGCTATATTAAAACAAGTGTGTCATCTCGGCTATGATCTTCATTCCACAAATTTGGTGGATATATTTTAACCATTCATATCATCAGAGATAATAGTGCACTGAATTAAATATATGCAATTTACTAAATTTTTCATTCTGACATTTATTTTATCTTGTTTATCATGTAAAACTTATTTTGAGGATAACTTGTTTATTTCTTGTAATAGAAATAAAATTAAAACATTATTTTATCTCTTGTAACGGAAAATCATCTTTGGAAATTATAAGAAAAGTTACTAAATTACCAAACTCTTTAAAACAAATTATAAGAGATAAACAAGTTTAACGGAAACTAGAATAACTGGCCTTGCAACATGATGGTTTTGAGTGGTGACCACATTTATTACACCACTCAAGAAAAATTCTACATAACTTAGTTGCCTTTAGAAAGAGTTAGTTTATCACACCACTGAAGAGATTCAATAAAAAGAATTACATGACCTTACTCTTAGACCATACATAATTTTAGTTTATTCTCTTTATGATTCCACTTTAAAAATTAACTTTAAAGTGGAAATATATGATTCTTTGGAAATCAACCACATCTACTCATTAAAGTTGACACAAATACTTTCTTTTTCTTTTTGAACAAAAATTGATCTATCTATTTTTTATCTAATTACAAACAAGGATGTAGGTTCAATAAAAGGTAAAAACAATCTTCATAACAAAATCAATTACAAGTATTATCTTGTTCAAAAAAATTACCAAAAGCTAACCTTTCTGGTTTTTCTAGATCTACTTAACTATTAGTTGTTTTATTATCACGCAACTCTAAGTCAACACGACGCCACTTATATTCTTTTGACATTTATCAAATGCGAACACGGTCCAATGGATTTCAACACAGAAGCATCCATTTATAATTCATGTTTTTGGTAGTGTGTGTTTTTTCTATAAAAAATGACAACCAAAACACCTTGAAAATGCTATACACATATGTCATTCCCTTCATGATAACACTGGTAAAACCTTCTCCCATAAAGATTGTCTTTTGGTGGACAACCTTCATTCCTCTCAAGTGCAAATCTTATTATTATCACTAGCTATTCAGGACAATGGTTAACATCTAAAACTATTAATTTTGGGTTCACATGCCGAGAATGTTATAAAAGGAAAATGAGTTTAATAGACAAAATTTATGTTTGTGAGCTTAGTTTTTTTTGAAAATTATATCAACTAGACTTTGAAAGAGGAAACATTTTACATGTGCATCAAACACTTTGATGATTTTCCAAGTATGTATTGACTAAAATCGAAAATCTCCCAAAAGATATTTTGTGTTTCAGTATTCACTTTGAAAAACAATAAAGAAATTGTATCTACAGAGAATAAACTCATGTTAGTTTACCAAATTTAGAGATTAAAACAAAAAAGATAATAATGGTGACGACTCAAAGATGATTCATATTTGAACATCTGTTATTCTTTGAACTTTCTTTTGCAGAAACTTGTTAAGCCAACTACATTTACTAAGATGGGCTGTTGTGAACTTCTCTGCTCGCTGCGATACAAATAAGCTTATTGCTGACTTGATTAGATGTGGAAAGATGAAGGGAATTGTAAGCTTTTTTGCTTACCAGAGAAACAGTTGTTATTTTTAAACAATAGTTAAACAGTTGTTATTTTGCAACTTTCAGCAACTATTAGAGTTGACATTATGAACAGATGAACAAACAGTTTATTATTTTAAATAAGAGTTGTTAAAAAGTTGTTTAAGCTTAATCAATGTACATAAATACAGAAGTACACACAGTTAGTATTAAACTTTGATAGAGAGCCCTTTATAGATTTTGTTCCATTCTTTTTTAGCTTTGCACCATTTACACATTTCTAACCCGGAATCAACATATAAAAGAAAAAAACATCTTACTCATTTTCATACGTTTTACACACATGCCGAGACAACACTATAAGCATTACCGAGAGAAGCTAGTGACTTAGTTTCACTTTCAGTATGTAAGTGAGACCTCTTAAAAGTACATGTTCGCTATTGTGATTTAAATAAACTATAGGCTTGAGTCTGAGTTCACCATCCACAATAAAAAACTAATTGTCACGCCAGAAAAATCAAAGGGCCCCGAACAGTATGTAAGGAACAGTTCTATCCCGAACCGCCAATTCTAGGAACAGACAGGAGCTGGTTATACGTTCCACAAACCTTCAATGTATGCGACTGTTTTACTTTACTGTCTGGTTGTGTTCTTTCACCAGCCAGCTCGGCCAGCCGCAAGCAATATCATCACATTCATCAATTAAACAAACAATGCACAAGAACATAACTATCAAAACCTGATGTGTAACAACAAGTAGTGTAGAAGTATTGATACGTTCCTGTAACTAGCAAACTCATAAACAATCATGATCACATTCAACAATAAATAATCAAAACCTGATGTGTACCAAGCAGTAGTGTAGAAGTGTTAATACATTCCTGTAACTAGCAAACTCATAAAACAATCATGATACATCATTACAGTTTGCAATTTGTGTATGATTATTATTCTGATCTGAGGCAATAAAAAAAACAATCTAAAGTTTTCTTTATTTCCAACACAAAACTGATTAAGGCATATGTCTTCCACATGCAAAGAATTATAAATACCAGAGTTGAACTATGCCGCGGCAGATTGTTTCTCCTCGTAATCATCAAGCCTCAAGGCTTCTAATAGCCTTGGCCATGACTCAGGGATGCCTCCAGGTAAGTCAAACTCCATAAGCTTCCCCTTGCTACGGTAGTATTCTTCAAGAGGCTGACTCTGCATATACAAAGAAAAAGTATTAAGCATCGCTTCATAGCTAAAATGGGAATTGCAATAGAGAGAGAGGGATCTTCTTACGGTTTCATTGTAAATACGAAGCCTAGCTTTCACAACCTCTTCAGTATCATCAGCACGAGTGACGAGCTTTGACATACATTGAGGTGGAGGTAGAAGTGGATCCATGCTGATTCCTGGTTTCCCATTCTCACCTTTTAAGTTGATGTGAGCTATATTGAAACCTTTACCACATTGATTACATGTTCTCCTCCCTAGACATTTATCAACCAAAACCTCCTCAGGTAGCTTCAGATTCACCACTAGATCAATGTCAGTGACATCTCCTAGTATTTCCTGAAGAAACACACAAAGATTAATTAATCATCAAAAACTTGCTTAAAGATGTGTAAACACAATGAGTTTTGTACTTACAGCTTGTCTCATGGTACGAGGAAAGCCATCAAGAATGAAACCTGATTCACCTTTGGCTTCACCAGCTTCAAGTCTCTTTGACAATAGGTTCACTATGATCTCATCTGAAACCAGTTTCCCTTGGTTTACAATCTCTGAGAGCTGCATCAAGTAAGATCACTTTTCCATTGGTAAGAAACTCAAATACAAGCAAGAGGAGAGAGCCGTTGACTCTAAATATAAAAAAATCAGATCCGTTAGGATTGGCTTTAGTTCATTAGATCTGTTGGTAGACACATGAAACTTCAACAGATCCAATACTAGATTTGCTTAAAACGAAGTCGTTTATTAGATTCATTGGACATAAAAGCTGAAACAAAGAACAAGACCGAACCTGTTGGGAGAGAGGTCCGGAAGAAGAAAGCGCCTCACGGACAAGATCTCCTGTGGCGATGTGAGGAACACCGAGAAGACTCGAGAGTCTGCTAGCGTAAGTGCCTTTTCCGACACCGGGACATCCCAAAAACACCCACTGCACGTTTCTCTCCTTCGTAACGTCCTTGCGAGATCCACCGTTGCTAAGAAACGGATGAGAAGAAGAGGACGCGTGGCTAGCTTCGGCTGAGGTGGAGTAAGATCTGCTTCCGAAGCTGAAGAGGGAGGAGGATCTCGCCACACGCAGTACTCTCGCCATTTCAGAGATGTAGAGAGAGAGAGAAGCGGCTTGAGCTTATTAAACGTCGTGCAAAGAAGGAAGGAACATTCGCTCTTTTAAAAAGGATCTTTGTTTCGATACTTAACCTAAGTGAGCTGACGTGGCGTTTTAACTTTTTTGTTTCGGACAATGCTTACGTCAAATCTGTTACGTGTAATAACTGAACTCCACAAAGTTAACTAACGGTCTGAGTTAAACTTAAAAGTTTGGATTTTTTTTTTTAATTTCTTTCGGCTTTCCCGGAGCAACAACAACAATGGCGGTTTCTCTCTCCTCGCCGTCGTCGTCGACGATCACTCCCATAAACGCTACATCCTGTTTATCTGGCATTCGTAAGACTGCTAAAAACTTGATACAGATGGTGTAGTGCTCCATAGTATAAAACCAGTTTCAGACTGTTTCGTGATTTTTCTAATTGCTAAAAGGCCCATATTCACCCAAATGGGCCGGAATCTAACACTAAACGAATCGGGCCCAAGTTCATGATAAATACCCGACCAGGATTAAGAACTTGGATCCAGGAAAATAATGGAGATGCTATGCAAAGGACAGAAGCTAAACCACGCCCGCTGCATCCTCCTAAACATGCCCGAAAAGAACCTACCTTGGGACAGAAGACATGTTCAAAGTACTGATAGAGAGTTACGGCAAAGCAGGGATCGTGCAAAGAGAGTGTTAAAGATTTTTAATAAGATGAAGGAGTTAGGTGTTTAGAGGACTGTTAAGTCTTATATGATAGTTTGTTTTAAAGTGATTTTAAGACGTGGCAGGTGGATGATGGCGAAACGGTATTTTAACAGAATGGTTAGTGAAGGTGTGGAGCCGACGAGGCATACTTAGTGAAGTTGGAGACGGCGTTGAGGTTTTGGGAAGATATGATTGGTACAGGGATAACTCCTGATGTGTTACTTACAATACTATGATTAATAGTTACGTTAGGCTTAAGAAGATGGAAGAGGCTGAGAGGTTGTTTAAAGGGTATGTTGATGTGGAGAGAGTTGAGGATGTTTGAGGAGACGAAGTCTTTTGGTGTTGAGGCTAATGCAACGACGTATTCGACGTTGTTACCGGGGCTTTGTGATGCAGGGAACATGGTGGAGGCTAAGAGTGTTTTGAAGAGTATGATGGCGATAGCATATTGCTCCGAATGTTAAGGAGGTTTTTCTTAAGCTTTTGGTGGCGCAGAGCAAAGGTGGAGATATGGCTGCTGCTACGGAAGTTCTTAAATTGAGAATCAGTGCAAAGCTGAAGCATACAACCGTGCTGTCAAGCTTTTGGATGTTGTAGTTAAGAAAGAGATTATATTGACGCATCAGGATACTCTTGAAATGGAGCCAAGCGCTTATAACCCTATCATTGAGTATTTGTGAAGTTGTGGACAAATGTCGAAAGCTGAAGTGCTTTTCAGGCAGCTGATGAAGAGAGCCTTGAGACGCTAAAAAAACGGCTCTGGACAGTATGATTGAAGACGGGCATGTTCCAGAATTTTCTCTTTTCAGGTCAGTGATTGAGAGTTTGTTCGAGGATGGTAGCCGTGTGATGATGATTATGATAGATAAGAACGTAGGCGTTGAGGAGAATATTGATTTGGTTGGTAAGATTTTGGAAGCTCTGTTGATGAGAGGGCATGTAGAAGAAGCACTGGGACGTATAGATCTTCTTAATCAGAACGGACACTCACCTGATTTGGACAGGCTATTGTCTTTCTTGAGCAAGAAAGGGAAGACGATTGCAACGTTGAAGCTGTTAGATTTTGGGTTGGAGAGAGATCTTAGCTTGGAGTTTTCGAGTTATGACAAGGTGTTGGATGCGGTTTTAGGAGCTGGAAAGACTGTGAATGCGTACTCAGTTCTGTGTAAGATCATGGGGAAAGGAAGTTCGAGTGATTGGAAGAGCTGTGATGAACTGATTAAGAGCTTGAACAACGAAGTGAACACGAAGCAAGCTGATGGTCTTTCTAAAATGATCAAGAAGGGACAAGGAAGCAGCAACAATGACAAGAAACAGAGAACACTGTCTCTTTATAGAAACTTAAAGGAAGTGATTCTTTCTTGGTTTTGTTTTTTACTTTGATTAGTAATTTTAGAACTTCGATCTTCTCTTGTTTACCAAATAAAGCTTTTCTTCTATACTTGTTTTGAAGGGGCACGTTTGTATGATTCAATGCTTTTTTTGATAGGAACTGTATTGTTTTCTGATTTTATAGGAGTTAAATGAAGATCTGTGCTGGAACAAGAGTTGCAACTTCGATTGGCTTTTAGCTAAAATATCTCGTAGATCTTTTTGCCTTTGCATGAGACGTGCCATCTTCACTGTCCATCCAAAATTCAACGTCTTAGATCTCATCTCATCTATCATAACACTTCAAAACTATGACAGACCAAACACAACTAATTCAAGTGAACTAGTTTACCACAAAAAATAATTGGAAAATTAAGAAATTAAACTAAATACGAAAAGCATATCAATAAATTTTCTACAATTTAATGTAAAGAAATTACTAAGTTAATACATATTTGTGATAATTTTGGAGAAAAAAATATTTGAGAATATAATTTTTTTTATGCTTTTGAGATCTTGGAAAAAATATGTTTTCTGATGATCGCTTATGAACATAAATAAACAATGAACACAAAATTATTTAAAATTTGAATAAATAATAAAATATGAATTTTCCTCTAGTCTATTTTTATTAAAAGTAGGTAAAATAACTTTTATACATAGAGAAAAGAGTAATGCAATGAAACTATGTCAATGATTTCTGTAAAAGTATATAAGTTTAAGTAGACACAAATTTATTAGAAAAAAAAACAGAAAATAAAGTTTGAGATAGAATATGTAAATAAAAATCAGGATAAGATATTTTATGCAAACAAGATAGTTTTCTCATTTGGCCCATAAATATCAAACACTCTTCATCTCATCTCCACTCTCAAAAACCCCTAAAGCCAAAAAAAAAAAACCTTATCTCTTTCTTCTCCTCTTCACCATGGCTGCTGCTTCAGCTCTCTCTACCTTCAACCCTATCTCCCTTCCTTTCTCCATCTCCAGACCCGCCTCCTCTTCCCTCCTACCTCCTTCCATCTCCTTCAAACTCCACTACTCCCAGTCCCTCTCCATCTCCGCCGCCGCGTCTCGCTTCGTCCGTAACGTCGCGGTTACTGATGACTTCTCAGTCGAAGAAGAAGACAACGTTTTCTCCGATGACGCTCCTCCCCCGCGGGAACAGTCACAATCCTTCTCTGCTGACCTCAAGCTATTCGTTGGTAACCTTCCTTTTAACGTTGACAGTGCTCAGCTCGCTCAGCTCTTCGAGAGCGCCGGGAACGTTGAGATGGTTGAGGTATATGAGTTAAATTTAGTTAATGGGTTTTCGAGAAATGAGATAAAGTTTGAATCTTTGTTAGTTTTGTTTGAGGTTTTACTGATTGTTGGTATTGTTAGGTAATCTATGACAAGGTGACAGGAAGAAGCAGAGGTTTTGGTTTTGTGACTATGTCTTCAGCTTCTGAAGTTGCGACAGCTGAACAGCAGTTTAATGGCTATGTAAGAACATACTTTACTTCTCTACCTTGCTCTAGTCTTGAAATTGTCGAACTCATGTCTTATTGTTGTTGCTAAAGACAAAAAGTTGGAACCTTTGTTTTGTTGTTGTTTGTTCTTATTGTGTGAGCTTTGTGATTGTTTGCATGCAGGAGTTGGATGGTAGACAGTTGAGAGTTAATGCGGGCCCTCCTCCACCGAAGAGGGAAGACTCCTTCTCAAGAGGACCTAGAAGCAGCTTTGGAAGCTCTGGTGGAGGTGGTGGTGGTGCTGCTGGTTCAGGAAACCGTGTTTATGTGGGTAATCTCTCATGGGGAGTTGATGACATGGCTCTTGAGAGTTTGTTTGGGGAGCAAGGAAAGGTTGTTGAGGCTAGAGTCATCTACGACAGGGACAGTGGTCGTTCCAAGGGTTTTGGGTTTGTGACATACAACTCTGCTGAAGAGGTTCAGAATGCTATCAGAACCTTGGATGGTGCTGTAAGTATCTTGTTCCCTGACACTTACAATGCGATCAATGAAACAGCTCTTGATATGCTTATACTTGTGTCTTGTTGTAGGATTTGGATGGGAGACAGATTAGAGTCTCTGAAGCTGAGGCTAGGCCTCCAAGGCGCCAGTTTTGAGCACCAATCTATGGCTTCCTATTCTCTGGAGGGTATGACTTTAACTATTATTTTACTTATAGATGGGTCTTTAGGATTAACCACTTCGTACACTGATTTATCTGAGTGATTGAAATGTAACAGGCGCGTTGAAGCAGTTTTTGTGAGAGGATGGCAGTTTCTGTGGACGACTGTACTATGTGTTTGTTGTGCCTTGGATGCACGGATGGTCTTTTGTTTGAGAAATATGTAGTTAAGATTTATAAGTGGAGACCATGTTCTTGTCTGTCTGAATGCTCTGCCATTGTCTGCTTCGGTTTACTTTGATTCACTCTTCTCTCTATTTTAACAGTATTGTTTATGCTTTTTGATCCTTTGTTCCTATGAGTATGAGCACATTTGATATCCACTGAAACAAATCTCACAGCAATCTAACTGAACCAATACAATATGAAGTGGAATAAGGAAATTGAGTCGAGGGTTTAGACATCGTCGTCCAAATATTTTATGATGCTTAAGTTAGTAATGTAACAAAGATGTTAACCATAACTGGATGTTTTTGGAATAGAGTTTAAAATTTTTAAATGGTAGTTGGTTTTCAAGGCTGATTCAAGAGTTACAAATGGATGTTAGAAAAAAAAGATGAGCAATCTTGAAAGGAACTTTGAGTATCTAAAGTTAGGAGCATTTAATACTAATGTTTTAGGTCAATTATATCAAAACACATCACAACAACTAATTTACTCATTCACCCAAAAAAAAACCCTTACATTCCATTTTCAGACACAGCAAAAGTCGCAGTTTCGTGTCTTACAAGGTGGGTCTGTTTTGAGCTTTTGCGGTAAACCTGTGATGTGTTAGAGCAAACTCAGTCGAGTTAGTTCCTCATTTGTGTGTGTAAATCAACAGTGACTCACTTTCACAAGATCATGAACGTGAGCCGATCAGCTGTTCGTCCGGTAATTGCGGTCCCCGTGGGTCCTACTGGTGGAGCTAACGATAGACCACCAGTGAGAATGAAGGATATTCAGGGGATGCCAGGAACCACCGGCGGCCTCATCCTCCGCTTCTCTCAGTTCGTCCCCGCTTTCATCTCCCTCTCCGTCATGCTCACCACCCCAGACGTCCACTCCACCGCACTCGGGTAATATCCAACGCTTAGGCCTAAGGTTTATGACAAATATGAATCTTACAAAAAAAACATTATTTTTGAATATTTCATATCTAAAACCAAAATTTTGTCCAAAAATATTTCCTGGAAATTTCTAGGATATTTTCGACGAAACACCAACGAAAATAAAATTCAATATTCATCAGAAATACATTAGAAATTTTCGGTAAATATTTTTTCGTCAGATATTCCGTCAGAAATTACTATATTTTCTTGTCGTGATATCTCTCAACTGTGACAGTGGTTTGGTTTTTGCGGTTAGTCTTCAAAGCATGTGGAGTTTGTCTCTTTTTATCATCGATGCTTATGCTCTTTTGGTGGGAAGAAGTCTTCGGAATCACTTGGTTGTTCAATGTTTCGCACTTGGAGATGGAGTAAGAAAACCTCTGTCTTATCTCTTAACACTCAAAGCACACACACCACTCTTTATGTTTAAGTTCGTTTCTAAGGCCAAACAAAAGTGACCGTTTGTCTATTTTTCCATCTCAAACATTTGTTGCAGATCACATGCATACTTACGTTTGCAACTGCTTCTGCGTCTGCTGGCATAACCATACTCATGAAGGATCTTGATAAATGTGGTTGTAGTCATTGTACCAGGTTCGAGACCGCTACAGCAATGGCTTTCATCAGCTGGTTTGCTGTGTCTCCTTCCTTCTTTCTCAACTTTTGGTCCTTAGCCACCCACTAAATTTATAGCACACACAAGAAAACAGAAATTAGTTCCAAAAAGTATGTGTTTCCTAGTTAAATAAACAGTGGAGTATAACTATCACTCGGTTTAGCTAATTTATTTGGAAACATTCAGAATATACATAGTACTAGAGAACAGTTTGCCTTCTTGGTCTGACTTTCTGATAGTTGATCTTATCGGTTAATCGAAGTCATGTCATTTTCATTAGTACATATTAACTTAGAGATGTAAAGATATATCTGGAGATAACATAACACGATCCAATACTCTGAAGACAACACATGAATTTAGTGATAAATTATCTCAATGCAAAGGCGATACGTATTACAGGTATTGATAATGGAGCCTATAAGTTCTATTACTATATAGCAAGTAACAACTCTTATAGAGTGTCAAAGTTATCTTACGAGTGAGCCAAAAAACAAAGAGGACGGTTTGATTCTCGATTGAGAAGTGAACCGGTTAAATCAAACCGGAGATATTTTTTTATTACTAAACTGTACAAGAACCGATAGTTAAAAAAATAAAGCCCATAGATCATTTTTTTTCCGGCCCATATACGCTTATAAGGGCATATTCGTCATTACACAAACCCTAGTGTCTTCCTCAAATCTCCTTCAAAAGCCTTTCGAGCTCACTCTTCAACCGCCTCCTCGTCTCCGGACTCGCAAAAAAAAAAAACTACAAACTCCGTTTTTTAACCCCACACGAGAGACAGCAATGCCGCCGAAGTTGGACCCGAGCCAGATCGTGGACGTGTACGTCCGCGTGACCGGAGGAGAAGTCGGAGCAGCGAGTTCCCTAGCTCCCAAGATCGGTCCCCTCGGTCTCGCGCCCAAGAAGATCGGAGAAGACATCGCCAAGGAGACGGCCAAGGAGTGGAAAGGACTCCGCGTCACGGTGAAGCTCACGGTGCAGAACCGTCAGGCGAAAGTGACGGTGGTTCCGTCGGCGGCGGCGCTGGTGATCAAGGCGTTGAAGGAGCCCGAGAGGGATAGGAAGAAGGTGAAGAACATTAAGCATAACGGTAACATTTCGTTTGATGACGTGATTGAGATCGCGAGGATCATGAGGCCGAGGTCTATTGCCAAGGAGCTGAGTGGGACCGTGAGGGAGATTCTTGGGACTTGTGTGTCTGTTGGGTGTACTGTTGATGGGAAAGATCCCAAAGATATTCAGCAGGAGATTCAAGAGGGTGAGGTTGAGATTCCTGAGAATTAATTAAAATATTGATAAGTGTTGTGTTTTGGTTATTTCACTTTTGTTTTTTTTTTTGAGGTTTTTTTAGTTTCTATGTTTCAGTTAAGAACAAGAACAAGTCAGTTTTGGTTTGTTATTTTGCTGGTTTTATTTAATCATATGCTATGCTTTGCTAAAATGGTTAATATTTGGCTTAGTATTCTCAATTCTGTGTTCTTGAAATGGTATGATCACAACTAGATAAGGTCTTTATTCAAGATAATGCGCACATGGTTATTGATTCGTCTTCCACTGGTTAGTTAGTCTAGGATGTCTAATGTGTGATCTTGTTCAACTTTGGCTTTAGAAAGAGAAAAATAAAGGCAATGCTTGTGTGTTTCAGTGCAATCTTTATATACACTAGATTTTATACTCGCGCTACGCGCGAGTCTGTTTTAATAATTTAGTTTAATTAAAATAACTTAAAACTAAAATATTAATTGAGTAATATAATTTTCTTATTTAAAATATAATCTTTAATTTAGTATTTATGTTTTCTTATAATTATGTTATCTTATTAGCTATTTAGTTATTTGTATTTGTAAATATAAT